TCAGCTTACAAATTATATTTTTTATTTTAGTTCTTATAACATCGCCATGATTCGGCTAAATATTTTGGAAATTATGTGGATTTTCTTTTACCAACGAATGGATTCGTTCCTCGTTTTGAACTATATTGACTCAGTGCTGTCCATCATCATGCCGTACGGAATAAATTAAAGCAAGCAAAGCGTAAAAATATTTATCTTGCGAAATTTCATTTTCCGGTCTTTAGCAACCAAATGCGAGCAACTGCGGACGTGCCACACATAACGCCTATAGAAGCCATACACTCGATACATACAAACATACATATGTATATGTACGAAGGCGGCAGAGTCATCAATTCGGTGGCTTTGCTGCGTGCGAAAGCACCAATACCGTAAATGAGGTTAATAGTTTATGTAATTGCAAGTCAAAATGTGCCGGGAGTGTTATATAACATTCTTTTGACTTTATTAATAGAGCTTTATTCAAATTTAATTCCAAACTAGCGACGAGCTCAACATTTTTCACTGATAGCATTAGTCTGCGAAAAAATGCAGCTTAAAAAATTTTGCCATATATTATATATGAAGGTTTTGATACGCTGAATCTTTTCCCATTATCTGTGCTTATGTTATTTTCATTTTTAAATTCCTTTCCTTAGAGCACAAAATATAATGAAGAAAATGTATTTTTTTTTGTGCAGACCAGTGTAATAAGTGGTAAGTAGCACCAACACAAGTTAATTGAGTGACATATCAGTTTTACTGATCATTGAAAGACTGTTCAAAACTATTGTCACTGTATAACCTTTGACAGCAACAACAAAAACAAACTCTTGAAGTTTGCAAGTGTTTAATGACAACAAGTCATTTATCATTATTTACAAGTCCAGATGTCAAAATTCCAAGCAACTCATGGTCTCATAGCTTTATGGAAATATGAATTTACTATATCATCGTTCTGCATATTAGCATATTGACTTTACGATAATAATTAGTGAGATACAAATTAATATTGATGAGAACGACATGCTACATACTCACAATCAAATGTAGGTAGTGCGAAGTTGTTATCATTTATTATAAAGTGTTGAAATAACTTTTATAGTTTCTCTTTAGTTCAAATACACAACTCGAAACAATATAACTACCTATATAAGTATGTACTCGTATGTCTGATGTACTCGTATAAGGTGCATCACTGCGTAGCACTGGCGCTCGGAGTCGAAGTTAAGTTGAGTCAAGTTAAATGCCCTTTGGCCGCAAAATTTACAAATTATTGTAGTTCAAATCTCTTCGAAGCAATTAACTTATTGCATATACATACATCCTCAACACACATTTGTAACGTATATATAAGCATCTCGATATTATTCAATCTTTAACATGTACAGCTGTAGCAATTTTGCTTTTCAACTCAGCTCTACCTTGTCTATACGTGTATGTGTGGTTGTATTTACATAGTGGCAAAAACAAATGCATGTCATTTATGTGAGTTCATGTAAAACTATTGTAGGTCATAAGCAGTTGAAGGCCAATAAAATATAGCATTACACAGAAACAAAAACAAAAAATAAGAGAAACCGCAAAATAAAAAGTGTGGCAAGTGTGACTGACACGTACAAAAATTAAGGCAACGGTAAAATGAATTGCAGGTGAAAATTTAAATTAAAAAGTGTTACCAAAAATCACACATATACTTAGAGAAGACAAGTAAATGCGTTTTCTACAATTCAAGAAGCACCCCTAGTGTGAAATTTTGAAAAAAAAAAAATTTTCAATAATATATACCTGTAAAAATATCATATCATAGCATATTTTAAATATTTTTTGAGTAACAATGTGTAGCCGCTCATTTCAATCAGCTCTATCAGTTTGTCTTTAAATGCGTTTTTCTCGAAACAGCATTTTTCGAATTTGCCTGAGTGATTACTCAAATACAAATGATCCGATTTGAATCACTATTAAAAATTGTCTGCGTGTTCTGTGTGTTATAAAATTCAACTTTTTTAAATACCGTCATTTTGTGAATTTTTGATTTTTTTTCGATCGTAGGTCATTATACTGACAATTTGTTTTTTTTAGGTTTCAACCACGGAGAAGGCCGGAATCACTGTTTCAGTGTAGACCTTGTTTAGCGCCTTCGAAAATCATCTGTAACTCGAAAAATATTTAATTTTTTCTTCAAAAATTTTACTGTATATTTTTAAAATTTGTATGATTTGATGTGACGCTCCTTAAATGAGTACAGTAATTTTCGAAAGTCTTACAAATCAAGTCGTATAATAGTCGAAATGTATCTCACACTGTTGTATGCACTTTTCGAAATGTCTGATATTTCAGTGCTAAAAATATGAATGGTTTAATTAATTGTTTACAGAATAAGACTCCATATTTGAAATATTGTATTTTCGACCATTAATTTATGTAAATTAGTATTCAGGCTTCATTCGGACCCTTCAATTAAGCATTTCAACATAGTATATTTATTTTAAGTCACTTTTCACATATGTAGTAAGTATTAATCATTCTGTTATCCAAATTAATCGCTTAATTTATTATAACACATGTCTTTTAGATGTTTTTTAATTAAGATATAAATATTTCCGACATAATTCTACAACCCCTTATTGATGAAAAATGATAAATGTTATACATTCATAATCCACTTATATAATTTGAATAAGCTCATAAAAAGTGATTTTCATTTTCGTTTGAATTAATTGCTCACGTTGCTCATTACTGCTGGCAACAGAGTTAAGTTGCCCTGTTAAGCCTGTTCTAAAGCAGTTTCTTCTCACATTTCACAACAAACATTTCCGTCCCTTGAGTCCAGTGTCAACGCCGCAGTAATGCTTATCGATCAACAACATCCGTAACAAGTACGCGGTCAATAAAGCAAAAACTGACAGCCAAATCATAAGCTACGCACATATACATACATATATTTATATTATATGAGTTGAAGACTCTAACGAGCATTAGATGAAACTGAATTAAAATGTTATATAATTCACTGTACGAGTACAATATGTCCCTGAGAGGTTTAGCACCTACACGTCTATTTAGAACCGATGATTTTTTAATTTGTGTATAATTTTTAACTTAATCACTGCTTGCTTAGAACTAATTTTTATTACGCTCGTAATGTAAAGTCGGTTTTAATATGCGCTTAAGTCTAAGGCTATTGTCTTTCCCTATGTAAGCCTTTAATTGTCTGCTTTGCTTTAATTTAGACAATGAAGGCTTTACGAAATACGCATTTTTTATGCCATTCGCAGCTATTTTCCCTAAGAAAATATGTGTTTCCGTAAACGTTTTGGCTTGTTCGCCACTTTACCTAAAGCCTCTAAGCCTCTACGCAGTTACCGTAGTTTAGAGTTCTTTGTCAAAGTCTCCGCCACCGCCCGCAAGTTTGACAATGCGATCAAGGTTCCTATTGTAGATAACTACAAATTATACTTATACAACATTCTCAGCAACTGTTGGCAATTGACTGTAATTACGTTTTAACTTGTCTTATTGTCGGCATTTACATGCGGCAATAATGTTCTAGGCGCATTCAGGCCGGCTCACAGCAAAATACTTTGGAAGCTCGGAATTGAAAATTATATATTTCTTATTTTCATTGACTGTCAGCAGTCATTCCGGCGAATATCTAATATCTTTATTTCAGTAAACGTTCTAACAGATACCTGCCACTGCCTGCGACACAGCCCAATCATTGTCGTGTATCTTCACTTGCTGTAGAACCAGTAGTCATTAGGTTATACTCAAATTGTAAGCGTTCTTTACAGTATGTCTATGGTGGCTAAAGTTCTATTCTAACGGCTAAATTAAATAACTAGTTAATGGTTAGTACTGTGGCAGCTGCTAATAACAGCATAAGTAGCAATTGATTACTTTGGGGGCGGTTTGCCTTTGAGATTGATTGAGGTGTTAGCTGATAGTCCACTGCCACGCGCTCAGCCAGATTTTGGAAAAGAAGCTGAAATTACTTTAATACAAATATTTTCTGTATTATCTCTTCAACTAAATCAGTGGCAACGTGTTAAAGCAGCTTAAGTCAACAAATTATGCTATTTACTATATTGCCACAGAAAATTAGAGCTCAATTCTTAAAGTTTTTTAGTAATTATATACCCGGTAGAGGATACTTCTTCCGTATCTTTTTTCATAGCTTGTGTTGACATTGGCATATTTCGGTAAGCTTTACAAATGAGCCTTATCTTTTGAGGAAATTTCTACTGCTTAAAAGTATGACCGAGTTAACCCTCATCAAGTCACGTTTTCAATTTGTTCTAACCTTTGCCTACAAAAACTAATTATAATTAGTTATAAAAAATACTTGCGGTCAATTACACAGAAATTGTGCAGCGACTGGGAAGCCAATTTTTCGATTATAAAAATGAGTTACATTAATTATGTAATCGTGATGGGGAAAAGATTTTTACGTTTCCTTCAATCGCTTATATATTTTATTTGCATAACTTTTACTTAGGCACTCTACGTAAAACAGGAAGTTTAACACATGAATATTTTAAATAACGTTATGTGGTAATTAAATTTATTAAATTGGAAATATATGTGGTTTTGATTTGAGCAAAATATTTAAAAATTTAAAAAGTATGAAAACAGTTCGTCGGGTCAAAATTTTTAACCAATTTTTTTAAAGCGCTTAATTAAATAAATTAAAATGGCGGCGAATAGTTGTTGTTTAAAATTATGCTTAATATCTAAGCGTTTTGCCAATGATAGTTTGCAAATTAAAAATTTGCTAATGATAACATTTAGAATGAAGAATTAATTTCAGTATTTTATTGGCTTGTTTGATTATTGGAACATAGTATGGCTATGTGTGATGCTGATAATATCCAAGTAATTAAATAAATTTTTAATTAATCATAAATAAAATCAAAATAATCAATTAAAGTAAATTAAAATTCACACTCAATGCTAGATCGTTAGATTAAGAAACGCAAATAAAATTGCAGCGGGTCTCAAAATTAGTGGCGTCAACTTACCTGACCATCAGTGAAGGCCAACAAATAGCAGCAGATAAGCAGCCAAATGAGAACTGGCCACTTTAACCAATTGTGTACGAACATCTCCGGCGCTTTTCTTGCCTTCTGGCTAATTTATTCCAGAAAGGCGTTGATTTACAAAAATTCTTAATTTAGCGGTGTAAATGTCGAATTTAGACAGCACCAGCAGCAGCTCGTTGTTGCTCAGTATAGTAGTTCGAAAAGTCGCAACAGCTGATAAATTTGGTCAACTGCAAGAAAATATTAAATAAGGAATTCATTACAAGTTGGATAAAATATACAAAAAATAAAAAAAAAAAAATATTATCGCCCGAGCAGGGACTTGAACCCTGGACCCTTGGATTAAAAGTCCAATGCTCTACCGACTGAGCTACCCGGGCACATATACTCATTTTGCTCAATGCGCTTCTTCACTGTAAAACGACAGCAGTCTGAGGTCATAACAACGCTTGCCTTCGTTTCGTTTCGTCATTCGTTTGTTATTTTAAGCATCGTTAGCGCGCCAGAACAACATACAGAACATAGAGTGCAAGCAAGCAAACAAATAGCCCTCACTGCGCAAACAGTGTTAGTGTGATTACGCGAAATCACATAGAGAATTGATTTTATGTACATACATGTGCATATATAAAAACTGCAGCTACAACAACAACTGGTTGGGTAAAACTAATCAATAACAGCCTTACAATTCACATAGATGTATATTCAAATGTGTAGATAAATATGGATGTATGTATACACTGGCAGAAGCCCTATTAGTCAAAAAACGGAAGTTTGTATGCCAAGAAAATATCGAGTGTAGTATTTTCTGATGGAAAACAAGAGGGATATGGAGAAATAAAAAGGTTATATTAAAAGTATTGAAGTGTAAACTGTTTTATATAAATTCTTTTTGTCTATATTAAGGGGGTATTCTGGTCTAGAAATTTCAAGAAATCAATTTTTTTTCTTATCATATTTTCAAAGTTTAACTATTCAAGAATGTGTGTACTAGAGGATTTTTGAAAATTCGAACTATTTTCGGAGATATAGGCATTTTGCTGACGAAACGAACGGCGGGCAAAACTTTAAACGCGTTTTTCTCGAAACTGTCTTTTTCAACCTGATACCCATGATATCTCAAGTTCTACTGGACCGATTGACTTGACATTTTCAGGGAATCTTCCTCATAGACTCCTCTCGGCCATGAACTAGCCCCATCCCCAAATTCAAAAATTTAGTATTTTTAAAAAATTTGAGAAAGTCAAAAAAATGGTCCAAAAATTATGTTTTTTTTCAAACAGTCGCCATTTTATCAAAAAAATTTTTTTTAACTTGTCCCTAGTTTATGACCTTGCGACATTCATGTAGACTAATATTCTTTTTATTTTTTTCAATTTAGATCACTGGAAGGGATGAAATCATGGGTATGGCCACCTGCCAATTTTTCGAGACCCCCCACTTCATCGGCTGCTAAAATTTTGGATTTTGAAAAAAAAAAATTTTTTAATTTTTTTCTGTAATCTTAAAAGGTTAATAAATAACATAAAAAAAATGGATGGTAAAAATATTAATTGCCTATTTTATACAGCACTTTAAACAATACCTAAAAATCATGCCTCTAGACCAGAATACCCCCTTAAAATAGTATTCAGCTGGTATTTGATATATTATATTATAAGTATGCTTGTATGGAGAAAAGAGTGTCGGTTGATAAGATGTTGTATTACAGTTGTGAAGTACAAGTAGTTCATAACTAGTTGATTTCACTGCAGGAAGATTTCAGAAATATATGAGTATCGAATCAATTATTTGTTGAAAGCCTTCAGTTGGTTGCCGTTAAATCAGTGATTTTACGCTAAAACTGGTTCAAATTCGTGTGTTAGTTACTCATATTTAATCTAAATTCAATTATTTATGTTCTGTGTATTCGCTAATATATAATTTGATACATTTGCTAGAAGTTAATTACTTGATAATTCAATCTACATTTCATAAATCAAGCACTGAGATTCTAAACCTGCTAAAGACTTGTGCCAAATTTTATTTCTTGTCTTTTTTATTTTCTTTTGTAAAAAATAAAATCGGCGGAAGTTAGCTGGTATTTTCTTATTCACTTTTTATTGCAATAAACTTTATTGTGCTTTTTTAATAACGAATTAATTGTGCATAATCACAGCGATTAAATAATTATGGAGTTTAGAATCGACAGAGCCACACAGAAAATAAAACTTGTATTTGGAGCAGCAAACCGCTTGCAATGCAAAAAAATTAAATATTTAATTAACATTTAAAAAACTCTTAAGTAAATCTTATGCAGTAATTTGTTGCCTTTGTGATTGAAGGAAGATTCCAACCGCTCGATAAACTTTTAAGCACTCACTGTTTGTTGTATAGTTTAGGAAAGAAAACTAAAGATATTACATTACACATACATACATACTGTGTTAAGCACAAGCTATTTCGGTCAAAAATCAGGGAACTGATTGATGAATACTATAGCAACAATATTTATTAAGTTCAACAATCAGTTTGTACAACAGCTGTATGCTATAGTTATACGATATCGGGCTTTCGTTTAAAGAACAGCTTATTGGGAAGAAAAAGACGTGTAAAAACTTTCAGTGATTTTTCAAAAACTGAAGAATTATTTTGCGTATATACAGATAGACGGACATGGTTCAATCGGCACGTCACGCTGATGAGTTCTACATGTACATATATATTGTATAGGGTCTCTGATTGTAGAGCACAATAGACCTTAGGTCGCAGTGCAAGCCTCAATTAAATTCTAAGCTGTCCGACGCTTCCTTCTTGATGTTACAAACTTCGTGCTAAACTTATTATATCTTATTCAGGGTATAATTATTATTGAATGATTTAAGCTTCAATATTTTTGTTGATATAATCGTACCAGCTAATTTCCAGAGAAATAGCAATTTTCTGGGAAAATATGAGATGAGAATAAGCAATGGAAACTGAGCAAAGCGAATAAACGGATGACAGATTTTGTATGAATACTCCGTAATGTTCTCCACTCTCTACAAGGTGACCATAACATGTCATCGGAAGGTTTTGAAGAAACGTGCATCAAAATTAAGCCTCGTATTTATTTCATATTTTGTAGTTTGAATACTCAAATTGTACAACAATACACTCGAGTATTTCTCTCCGATAGATTTTTGGAGACTCTACCAAATTCAGTGGCATCTGAATATATGGATATTTCTGACCGGTAAGCACATGCCACTAATTATCTGCCCAACAGCGCAATTCACCATACGCAGCCATGATTTACGAATCGTCCAATATGCTGGCATTAAGCAGCGGACCTGTTGACATACAAAATGTGCATATTTGGTAAGCTTTATTCGAAAATCGCGTCGCTTTGCTACGGTGACTCGTGCGTATGCGCAAACGCGGCACAGCAGACAAATTATTGATCAAAATTAGTAAGCTAAGCATTGATGCTCAATTCATTTAAACAAAAAAAAAAAAAAAAAAAACTGCAAAATGAAAATCTTAAACAAACAAAAACAAAATAATTATGACTGTGATGACGCGATTAAAATGAAGCGTCTGCGGTTGTCTGCCATCGAGCCCCTCACAGAGACGAGTAAAATGATGGATGCACAAACCAGTGAGGAAGTTTCGGTAACGCTTTATAGCTGTCGGCGTAACGGATTGGTCAAGAGGCCATGATGGAAGATGTTGTTTGATTGTAAATTACATAGGCGATAATCAAGATACTGTTGTAATAACTGGAATTTTAGAGGCGGGTGGAATTTTTAATAAACAGTTCAGTTTTAATGAACGCTTTTAAGTCAATTTATATTTCTGTACGATTAGTGGTGATTAAATGTCGACTGAGATGCTTTTGTGCACAAATTCTAAATTGAACTGCCGCGATTTCCTTCACTTGTCTCCAAATGTTGTAAAAATATTTTTTGTCTTCGAATTCTTGTGCCATTAATAATTCTTGTTTTCTCGAGGAGAATCAAGAAATACTGCAGCGAACTCGTGAGATTTTTACCAAATTTTAATGCTGCGATAAAATAGCTAAATTTAATTACTTCCGAAAATGTGAAAATGTTGTTTTATATTTTATGCCAGCTTAAGACAAGACAAACCGCACATGAGAATGACATATTTACATATGCTTGAAAATTTTATCAAGCAACACAAATACTCACATACATATGTACATACATAAATTTGTAATTAAAAACAAATTTTTTCGCAAAGTTTTGACACGCAGATACATCTTTCGGATGTATGCAACAAGAAAAACAAAAAAAATTATATTTTATTACTAGTTTTCTTTGATATTTGTATTTTTTGTTTTTGTATAATACACAAAATATTTAATATGGGAATATTCGCGTGTTTATTTGAATAATACACCCTACGAGAGCTTATAATTATTATTATTTAACAAAGTGATATGGACACTTTTGCATAACGAAGTCTTTGTTTATCACATTTGTTGTTGACTTATGAATTTATAGCTTAAAAATAAATGTTAGCTTAGAAGTTATGACTTGCGCTAGTGAAGGAAAAACACAAGTTATGTTTGGTATTTATGGACATAATAAATAGGTAAACTTTGGCGTCGGTAGTGCGAAATTTTTGCAAATTACAATCAAAGGGAAGGCAATATACGTATGTAGATACTTATACGCTTCTTCGAAAATGATCATGACAGGTTTAGCAGTCATACTTGCTGCCAATCAGTAGAAGAAAAGAAAAGTGAATTGTTTTAATTCACTCCAAATAAAATTTAAGTAAACCAAGTAATAAAGCGAAAAAGTAATTTAAATTAACTATACACACCAAATTATTTTAAGTGGTTTTTAGCATATAATTTGCAAATTAAAATTATTTAAACAATAGAAAGCCGGTTTGCAACCTAAGCTAGATTTTTAATCTGGACCATTACTTTTTAATGATTTTCACTGCGAAGCAACCAAAGCTAGAGCCATAAGCCCGATTCTAGTTCGGTTTCCACTTGCAACGTCGTGTTTTATGAGAAATTATCTAAATTAAATTGCATTCAAGTTTGTGAAATAGCAATTGTCCATGGCTAAGAGTAAGCCAAGTTGAAATAATCGAAACTCGCCACAGTACTGAGTAATTTATGTGAAGAATAATATTCAAATAAACATAGATTGTGAAAAGACGATTCAATTACGAGAAATTAAGTATTTGCAATATTTTTTTGAAAACAAATTAAAGCCAATGCTTGCGCTGT